AGTCGACGGCGGTCGTTTGGCCGGAAGGGCGAAGTCGCAGGCTGCGGCCACCCTCCGGTCCAACTCTTCCGCCGCTTCATTCGCGGAGACGTGTCGGTCCGGTACCGCAGGCGCCGACCATTGAGAGTGGTTGAGATTCGTTTGAAGGAATCTCATCCACTAGCGGGCTGCGTTCCGGGAGACCCCTCAGCCATTCACAGTTTTGTCTCACTATTTAGAATTCTACTATTTCTCCAGGCAAGGTAAGTTAAATTAATCCGTAATTTTTTTGATAAATTAAATTAAAAGTTAACTTGTCGATATCTTATTAATATTGTACTAAAGAGAAATTAAGTTAATATAAAATCTTAATATCTCCAATTCGCTAAAAAGTTTAATTTAACTTTGACTCATTTATGGCTAGCCATTCTATTCTTAAAACTAAAATTAAATACCCTCATTATGTTAATTCTTTCTTTAAATATTAATACTTCATAAACAATTGTACAGTTTTTTTAAAATAAAAACATAATTATGGGCGATAATAGTCGCCGTATACACACGAGTATTTTTTACGCTCCGTATATTTTTCTCAATATATTAATCATGATAATCCAATTTAATGTTTAATTGTGAAAATGTTACAGTTTTATCTCGCAAATTGTTTTTTTTATTTCACATTGTATACAATTGTACAAAAACAATAACGTTACTTTAAACATATTGTCAAACAATTATAAACATTAAAGTATGTGCTGTGTTGATTTTCCACACGTATGTTTTTTTATCTCGCTATGCTGTTGCATGACGGCCACTTATCTAAATTACCGTCGCTATTATGTTTAAAACTCTTTAAAACAAAGGCGATAATCAAATGAANTATTATGTTTAAAACTCTTTAAAACAAAGGCGATAATCAAATGAACCGTAATAATAGAAATAATCTAATTGTGTTGAATAATTCAGCTGATGACAGGAAAAAGATTTCTGCTAAAAAGCATATTCTACTTCTTCAAATTCAAATCCTGGTTCGTTACGCCCAACCGCTTTTAATAATAAAAAAATCATTTAATTATTTTACTCTACAAACCACTATGAAATACTTTGTAACAATGTAAACAACGTTGAAATCATACAAAATGATGACTCTTGAGAATATCACGAAAAAACCAATCAAGATCCCTCCTTCTATATTCATAAAAGGAGTGGAGAACTTCATTCAACTATGTACGCTTCTTATCAAAATTAATTAGAGTGGACAATTTCTATGAAAATAATCCGTATATGGCCTTAAAATTCAAACAAAATATACATAGCCACATAGAACACTAGACGGGTTATTTAAAGAACAAAAAGCAGACTTTCATATTTTTCAGCTAAAAGAAGACAAGCCTATACGCTTTGTGATCCACAATTTACATCCTAATACTATGGCGGAAGCAATGATAAACGAGCTCCCTTGCCTCTCTTTTTTGTCGATTTAGAGCAAAATAAAAAATCTAGAGATCTTTGATGGATTCACTGTATTACATGTATAAATGTCAATGTATAAATTGTCAAGAGTACGGAACACAAAAACCTAATGTGGTTACCCACCGAGATTAGATCTTACTTCACAAAGCCAGATGAACAACCCCCAAATGTGTACTATGATTAAGTAGGCTCCCTAGTTAACTATAAAGGAAACAGATATCTTCAACAACAATAGATAATATTTAAACAAAAGTAATTTTTTATGTGATAATCTTCAAAATAAGAATTCTAACATATAACAAAACAAACCAATCGTTAAATGATTTCTTAATTATTAACTATAGATTACATATACATATATAATATATATATTATATATTTATTAACTACATATCTTCAAAATACACATATGGTTAAACTACTTCTTATAATCCTAATATCATAGTTCTTTTATCATCTTCAGGTATAAAAGTCATGTCATCTTTTCTGGAAAATCTTTAGTCTCTAATCATTCCCTTTATATCTCTTCTAACCAAAGGTATATATAGCTTGTTAGTCAAAAAAAAAAAAATATCTAGTCATTCTTTTATTAATAATTCATTACTAATCCTCCAGGTCAATGTGAATGATTTAATAAATCATAATAAGAAACTCCAAATTCCACTTATAACAGAAACAGTATACTCTAATTTTTTCATCCCCTATTATAAAATATTATAAAAATTCAACTGTACTATAATGCTCGTAGAGTAGTAGCTATTTTTATTAAATCCTCTGTCCCGTTCCAACCTTTTCCCAATCACTCCCAAGACTATATACAATCCTGCTCTATATCCTTAAAACTTAAGGCTACAGATGCCATAATCCTTTTCTAAAACAGAACAATTGTTTTACAAGAGATAATAAGAAAAATAATATCTGAGAAAAGTACAGCTAGAACTTTTTACCAACGCACAAAGAAGTCTTGTCACAAAAACAATGCATAGTAGCAATAAATAGTAACCAACCCAATGACTTTGTTTTACATTATTTTCTTTTCGAGTTACTATAAATTTTTGGGAAAATATGAACCAGTTTAAATGTATATTGATAAATAATTGGAATTTTTTTATTTATAAATCTAAATTATTAGTAACATAGCATTGAAAAAAGCTGAGTTTACTTAAAACAAAAAAATGTAATTTACAACTATTACTTACAAGAACTTGAAAAAACTCCTAATAAAAATATGAATAATAATTATAATTTATTTAACAAATTAAGTATATTGTTGTCTTTTATTTTTAATGAAGAACTTGTATTATTAAATCATTAACTAATGAGCTAATTTAAAGATCATAAATTTTGAGAAGACGTATTGGACATGACAACAACACTGATCAAATAATATTAAATTTAATCAATGTAGTCACAAATTGAATAATGATTAAAATTAATAGAAAACCTGAGTGTTTTATATTACATCAATACATCAATATCGCTATTAATGACATAACCGTTTTCTAAAAAATAGTAAAAAGCTATTTATTCATAGATATTTATCAGTCACACTAAAAGACTTATAGAATCTATTAATTTTTGATCTAATAAATATCTTTGTATTACTTCTTTCAAAATAATTTATACATTTTTAGACTATGTTAAAATTTTATACATTGTATAAATTGTTTTCAAATATAAAAAACGGTAGCACAGTGGGGTCGCGGCATAGTGGAGACATTGCATAGTAGGGTCCAGTATAGATTTAATCTGACAGTGATTAAAATCACTATCATAAGAAACGCTTCGATGCAAATCTGTAGATAGTGTTTAATTTTAAAAAATTGATGGATAATTGCAAAAGCAACATCAACTTCTATTAAAATAAAATACAAAACCCATAATTATCATACAAAAATAGTATATTTTTCAATATGGTAGCCATTTGCGTATAGAAGATAGATCGTCGGGACAAATTTTTTTTTTTCATTTTGTAGTACATAAAATAAGCTTTAATTTTATATATGTTTAAAGGACGCAGTATTTCCGGAACATTTTCAAAAATTAAGTTGAAAAAGTTATTTTTTGTAAAAAAGTTACTATTTTAAATCCTCCCAGTGAGCAGAATAAGTGTTAGATTTTCAAAAAAAATTATATCAAATGAAAGGGAAATATCTAAGGTTTCAATACAAAAAAATATTATTTTTATTTGTTCATTTTTGAAAAAGTTATGGCAGTTTTAAGTACAAAAAACATCCCGATAAAATGTAATTTTTATCGCAAACATTACATTTTTTTTTAAATTTTCGACAGCCATTTGCACATAGAAGATAAGATGTCGGGACAAATTTTTTTTTTTCATTTGATAGTATATAACATAACCTTTGATTTGATATATGTTTAAAGGACGCAGTATTTCCGGAACATTTTCAAAAGTTCAGTTGAAAAAGATCTATGTTTTTTACAATATTTTAAGTTTTGAACGCCCCCTATATAAGGGGAAATTGTCCAATTTTAATAAAAAGTATGTCAAATGAAAGATGTACTTATAATGTATTTAGAAAAAAAAATTTGTGCTGATATATACATTTTTCAATTTTCAAAAAGTTATAGCATTTTTAAGTCGAAAATTTAAAATCGAAAATTTTAACACAAAAATAGTGTTTTTTTAACTACGACATTCGGCAGCCGTTTAAATGTAGAAAAAAAAGTGTCGGGACAAATTTTTTTTTTTCATTTTGTAGTACATAAAATAAGCTTTAATTTGATATATGTTTAAAGGACGCAGTCTTTCCGGAACATTTTCAAAAATTAAGTTGAAAAAATTAATTTTTGTAAAAAAGTTGCCATTTTAAATCCCCCTCAATTGCTCATTAACCTGCTCNATTAATTTTTGTAAAAAAGTTGCCATTTTAAATCCCCCCCAATGAGCAGGTTAAGTGATAGATTTTCAAAAAAATGATATCAAATGAAAGGTAAATATCTAAGGTTTTAGTATATAAAAAAATTATGTTAATTTGTTGATTTTTCAAAAAGTTATGGAAGTTTTAAGAAAAAAAAGTGAAAAAATTTCGAAAATTAGCGATTTTTAAATTTGTAATTTTTTTGGATATTTCCCCCATTTGCGGGGAACGAGGGAATTTTTTTCAATTTTTAAGGGTAATGTCTTCAACTAGATACGATTTGTGATCTTTTGACGTATTTTTGAAAGAAATCGGTCCAGTGAGAGCTGAGAAAAAGTGGCAACAGACATAAAAAAAAAAAAGAAAAAAAAAAACACATCATAGTAAAATTAATACCTTCTCCGCTTCGCATCGAAGCTAAAAATTGGTAGCACAGCGGGGTCGCGGCACAGTATAGAAGTGGCATAGTTGGGACAAATATAGATAATATCTGACAGTGATTAAAATCACTATCATAAGAAACGCTTCGATCAAATCTGTAGATAGTGTTTAACTTTAAGAAATTGGTGGATTATTCCAAAAGCTACATGATCTGCTGGTTCCTTATTAATATCTCAATTAAGATAAAGTATGTCGAATGAAAAAGGGTTTATTAAAAAATATTATTTCTCATAAAAAAATTGTGTGGATCCACAAACTTTTCAATAAGTTATAGGTGAATGATAGATAAATATAGTTAAAAAAAACTAAAAAACACGCTTTTAAAGAACATCGAACTAAAAAGTTCATCTACGTCATCATTTTTAAATTAAGCGTATCACAATAATACTAGTACTTTTCGTTCATTATTGTTTTACGCTTATTTTAAAAATTATTTTTAACTTTTTAGTTCGATGTTCTTTAAAAGCGTGTTTTTTAGTTTTTTTAAACTATATTTATTTTTCACTTTTTAGTTACATGTTATGATAGTAGTTACTATCGATATCATGGTTGTAACGGGTAAAAGGGAATCAGGGTTTGTTCCGGAGAGGGAGTCTGAGAAACGGCTACCACATCTAAGGAAAGCAGCAGGCGCGCAACGTGGAGGTAGTGACGAAAAATGACGATACGGGAATCATCCTTTGTAATCGGAATAAAATCCCTATATATCTCCTAATGAGAATAAAGCGTATTAATATATAATTTTTAATAGTAATTAGAATATATATATATACATGTAAAGCGACTTAAGTACGTTAGCAGCGTAGATGACGGTGCGCGAGTGCGGATCGGTTTGTTGACATTGTCACTCTGACAACGGGAAGAAGACACGGCATCATTAGCGGCGGGTCGTCGTCGGCCGTGCGGAACTTGCTGGACTTTGCACCGCAGCATATAACGCGCGGTGTTGGTCAGTCAAATACTCATAAAATGGAGTGACGGCTGAAAATGGTGGGACGAGTAGTAGGGCATCGTGTATAACGAAATGACGCGGGGCAGTGTCAATCACAATAAAAATTTGTTTTATAATATATATATATATATACAGTGCTCGAATTGGGGGGGTGCGCAGGGGGACGGAGCTCCTCTACTTTCTTTTTTATTTTTTTGCGCACCTCGACTACTTTTTTTTATTGTGACGGGAGGACGGTGGAAAATATAACCGCAATTTTTTTTTTAAGTATAGATTTAAATTGTGATCAATTTTACAATTTAAAATATTTTGTAATCAAATAATTTTAGCTTCGATGCGAAGCTGAGAAGGTATTAATTTTACTATTATGTGTTTTTTTTATAATTTATATGATATATTTCATTATAGTATGATATTACAATAGTTCTTATAGTTCAGTGTTCTGTAATATCGTGTATATGATAATATATCACAGAACAACATAACATAACAAATAATATATATATATGTCGCTGAGCCTCATGTTATCAGTTATCACTCATAGAATTTTCACTTTATCGTTGTTTATTTATTGTTTTCCGACTAAATAAAAAAATGAGTAAAAAAAAAAAAAAAAGGTTTTCAAAACGCTGGGGACGCAGTTTTCAAATTGTTAGGTTGAGCTCCCCTACTTATTTTTTACCAATTCAAGCATTGTATATATATAATTGACACGCACGCGTATACGGGTACGAAAACCAAAAATAAAAATATACAGGAAAATATTGTTGTTTTGCGAGTGGTAAGTGGAGTGAGGAGAATGCGTTATGACAGTTCCAAGTTACAAACTTACAACAAACAACATACATGTGAAACTAATATAAGCGTGTTAAAAAGCAACATCAAATTATATTTTCTTAATTATATACAGTGATTTTAATCACTGTCAGATATCATCTATACTGGTCCCATCTATGCCACACTGTGCCTCGACCTCACTGTTCTACCGTTTTTCTACAAAAATAATTAAATTATTCAACAGTCAATATTAGCTTCGATGCGAAGCGGAGAAGGTATTACTTTTACTGTGATGTGTTTTTTTTTTTTAGCTTAAATAGAAAACATAGTAATCATTTAAAATTAATTTTTGGTGTTTAAAAAGATCCTATAATTGATATATGCAAAACTGAATTAATTTTTATGATTTACCTTAACTAAACAAATCAATAAAAATGTTGTTAAAAAAATCTACACAATTGAGCGTTTTATTAAATCGATTTATAATTGTAAAATTCCATTGTTAAATTCAGGTAAAACTAAAAATCATTTTTTTAGAAATTATTTATACGGCAATATGTTACCAAAAAATTTTCATTATTTTAGTTAATGTAAATCATAAAGTGATCTATTATGATAAAATTGCAAAAAAAATCGAACTTTTCATATAAATTTACTGTAAATAGTAATTATAAAATTTCCTGACTCCGTATAAATCTTCACAATACCAATTTTTCTATTTAACGATGTCAATTTTAAACTTGCAAGTTATGATAAAGAAATTACTTTTTTTTATTATTATAAACTTTCACTTTAAAGAACAAAAGAAAGTAGTTTAAAAATTATTACTTTTAACATCTTAAAAATTAAAATCAATAATAATTTGAAAACAATTAATTATAAAAATTATATAATATATATTTAAAAAATTATGTATTATATTATTGAATCCAAGAATTACTAATCTGGATATAATTAAGGAAATAGAATAAAATTAAATTATGGAAATAAAATATGATTAATAAAATATCGCAGATCTTGCAGTTCTTAGATAAAAAGGGTCTCGGGATTAGCTGTTTTTTAAAACTTCGTTGGCGATTAATAAGTGTGATATTTTCACATCACTAAACATTATTATTAACTATTGTTAAACTTATAAAAATTGTATTTCTATTGACGTTAAATTTTTTGTATTCATTTATGAAATAGTGTTTAGAAAATAAAGTTTTTGCTTGTCTGCGGACATACTCACCATTTTTTAATAACTTAAAACTGTTTTTAAATAACTTAAAATTATGTTTTAATTAAAGAAAGTTTTAATATTTTAATTAATAAAATATGATTGTTTATGTATCAACTGAACTGTATATTTAATAAAGATGCCACGTACATGTTGATCTTTGTTTTAAAACAAAATTATTTTACGTTCTAATTTTTAAACAGATGTTATTTACAAATTATTTATTTATTTAAAAAAAAGTATAAACACCTATGATAATCAGATTTGAAATTACATCTAGTTAGCAATAATATATCCATTTCTTAAAAGACGATTTTATAAAATTATGACAACATTATAGATATTAAACATTATTCATTTCAAACTTGAAATTCGTTACACACTAATACTGTGCAATTTGTAAAAAGTTCTTAACTTATTAAGCTAAGAAGGTATTTATTTTATTATGAAGTTTTTTTTTTGCGTGTCTGTTACCACTTTTTCTCAACTCTCACCGAATCGTTTTCTTTCAACGTTACGTCAAAAGATCAAATCGAAGATTTGACCCTCAAAAATTTTAAAAATTTCCGAATTCCAAATTCAACATTTTTTCACCTGCCCACAGAGGGCGAATCAAAATGACAACTTTTTTACAAAGCATTAACTTTTTCAACTTAACTTTGAATGTGTACCGGAACTATTAACATTTTTATATATATCTTAAATTAAAGCTTATGTAATGTACTTTAAAAATCGAACCTTATTTGATCTTCATGACTATTGTATTCAAAACTATGCTATTTTTTTGTTAAAATTCTCAATTTTATATTTTACATTTTTAACTTTATAATGCTATAACTTATTGAAAAGTGTATGGATCAATACAATTTTTTTATGATTAATACTTAATATATACCTCTTTCATTCGACATACTTTTTCTTTATATTGGAACATTTTTCTCTATACAGAGCGGTTAAAACTTTGATACGAAAATGCGTTTAGAAATTAGTACTAATTCAACTTAATTTTTGAAAATGAAATACTATATAATACTATGAGATACAATTGAAATATTCAGAACTATTTTCCTTGTAGTTATATCCTATACTTTCTAAATAATTAGTAATAATATCAAAAATTAGTGATAATAGAAAAAATATAATTACTGATTTGTAATTAGGACGAGAAATTGAATAATAAAAGTATATTTTTGACTCAGATAAAAATTTCTTGCAGACCATTTATTTATAATTAATAACAAATTATTTTCTAAAAAGTTTTGTGTCAAGCCCTTCAATTTTTATACACGTTTGCCATAAAAGTAATAACTACTTTATATATATTTTTAAATACTCCGTAAAAATGACAATACTAAATTATTAAAAATAAAATGGCGGCTTCATTCATGCATCTAAGCTTCCTAATGTTTGCTTTAATTTATTTTGGCTTGGATTAGATCTGTACATTGCAATTTGTGATGCGCTAATACATGTTTCTCTAACTTAGATGAATACTTACCTATAATACATTTTTTACATAAATGGCACTTGCTTCTATTACTAACGTTATCGTATTTAAAAAACATTTTTAACACTGAATTCTTCATTTTAAATAAATATTAAATTAAGAAAAAACTTTGGTCACCAAAGTTTGGTGTAATATTTACTGTACTTTACACAGCTGTTTAATATACATGAAGTATTTTTGCTTCTATGAAAATCACATATGTACTCATTAAATTAATTTATACTTGGAGATAAGTATTATAACCCAAAACCGTTGTTAAAGTACACACTAAAGTGGTTTAAAATGTTATTAATCGCAAATTATTATATATATTGCTATATAAATTTTGCAAGGTGAAATCTCTGATATATTGCCGTTCTATTATCGGTATTTCACAAAAAGTTTTATTTTTGTATAGGAATTTGTTACAAAACCGATGATTGTGAATAACGAAATGATTGCTATGAACGAAAAATACTAGTATTATTGTAAAAAAAAGCGTGAGGGCGTTGTGCCATAATTTTCGTATATGAGCGCCCGACGCTTTTTTTCACAATATACTAGTATTTTTCGTTCATTATTGTTTTAAGCTTATTTTTAAAATTATTTTTAACTTTTTAGTTCGATATGCTTTAAAAGCGTGTTTTTCAGTTTTTTTGATTATATATACGTACCTCACCAGATTTTTTTTGACGCCACTTATATTATGTTAATTTATTACCTCAATTTTTTTTTTTTTTTTTTGATAGCCATATTTTTTTATGGCGCCATTTTTTTAGCGACACTTATATAGGAATACAACAACAAAATTTGTTTCTTATTATACAATGATAGCTTTGCAAATAAGATAAAAGTAAATAATCAAATATCACATATACAGATATAATATCAAGTATGCATTTGTAACTATTTTTAGGTAATCGATATTGCCCTTTGCAACTCTATGGACAATAAAATAGCGGATGCGGATAACGCACATACGCGCACAGGCAGTCAGATATAACGGCTACTGTTTGAAAACCATTAGTTGGAGCGTACAAAACAACCCGTTTTTGTTCCATCAGTACAAGGAAACTACTAATGCGATAAGAATTCTGAAAACAAATTTGAATTCAGTATCATGTCACTTAGGTATCGGTGAGGCCACATTTTTGAAATTTTGATTCCTTCAACGTAAAAATTCATTTTGAAAATTTTAAAATTATTCGAAAATTTAAACTGTACTAAAGGGTTAAGAACATCAAAATTTCAAAAATATGACAAAAATTCAACTTGTGTCACTAAATAAATATACTAATTAAAACCTAGGTAAAATCTTTAAGATGCCAATAACTTTACTAAATAAATAATAATTCACTTATCACTGTTGATAATTTACGAGTAACTTCAAATTTGAATTTAGAAAAGGTCAGATAATTGGGATATTTATTCAAGCAAACATGCCGCAGCGAATAGGCGGCAATAGTGTATACGTCAGTTGTTATTATAATATATATAATTACTCATCCCCACCCATAATAGATATGGGATTAATTGTATCCTCACCAAATCACAATATGTATATTATAATTTTCTAGAACTTTTTGAAGTTATATGGAATTTGTTGGAATTCTGTGGTGGACGTTCCGTCTTTTAGAACATTTTAAGTTTTTCATATTTAAGCTTGAAACTACTACTAATCATTTTTTTCTTAAACCGATTCCCCTTCTAATCAGAAGTTGATACGCACTCCATGATATTAGATAATGAAAATTTAAATCAACATGAAATCATGAATATTACCTTGAACTACTGAATTAAATTCCCTATGAAGTTATTTCCAATTCAATGACAATATTAAAACGTTGCTATTCAATTTGTAAAAATATATTTGGCGATATGGATAATTTAATTGCAGTTTGCCAAGTAACATCCTGTAATGACAAAGAAAAAAATTTTCAAATCTGCAAAACACTTATTACAAATGCCCATAAATGTGGAGCCAAAGTACAGTAGAGTAATTATAATTTAAGTTAAAATTTATATAAAATTTTATTATTATTTTCAATAGATGGTTTTTTTACCTGAATCCGTTGATTATATTGAAGAAGATTTAAAAAAGTCACATGAAATGGCTGAATCGCTTAATGGACCACTTATAAGTAGTTATAAAGATTTAGCCAAATCATTAAAGATATGGTTATCAATTGGTGGTTTTCATGAAAAAGTAAGTTTCTCTTCAATAAAATCTTATTAGATTTTCATAATATAAATTGAAATATTAGAAATTTATTTACTTTTTTTTTTTTTTGAAAATTTAATTTTCCAATGCCTTTAAAAAAAATACTTCAGAGAAATTTTTATTGTAATAAAAGTAGTTGATACTTAACGATTATATTTTAAATAATTAAAAATAGACTATTAGTGTAATTAGATTAAAACATACGTAAGGGGTAACTTAGGAATCAAGTAAATAAAAACTGAAGTTAGTGGTAAAAATCCAAACATAAAAGAATATAGAATTTGTAGTTTTCAATCTTCTTCTTTTTCCTCACCTTAATCCCAACTACCCTTATCCTAAACTTCCACTTGACACAATCTCCCACATCATTTACTCTCACATCAACTGTCCTCATATCGCATTAATAACATTCCTCCATCTATTTTTTGGTCTTTACTTCTTCTTCCTTCAACATTCATTTATATAACTGTTCTTACAGCTTCCAATTCTTCTCTCCTCATAACATGACTAAACCATCCAAGTCTATTAAGTATCTTAGCCACAATTGACGCTACAATTATACACCCTCTTATATGTTCGTATCATATCCTATCTTCTCTAGTCACNAGTCTATTAAGTATCTTAGCCACAATTGACGCTACAATTATACACCCTCTTATATGTTCGTATCATATCCTATCTTCTCTAGTTCATTCATCCATTCATCCATTTAAGCATTCTCATCTCAGCTATACTCATTCTTTGCTCTACTTTTTTGTCAACCATCTAGCACTCTGAACCATACATCATAGATGGTCTCACTATAATTTTGCAGAATTAACCTTTCAGCCTTATTGGCAATTATTGGCCATGTAATATAACATTATAGGTTTGATTGGCCTCATTTTAGTTTTCAATTAATTGTTTATTTGATACTATTTAATAGTGCTAAAAAATAAGGAAGGAGTGATTTTCATTTCAAACATTTTGATTAACAATTTACTGTACCCTAAAATATTAAATATAAAAAATTTTTGAATTTTATGTTTAAGACAAATAAAAGTTTTCATTTTATTATTTTTGTATACATTTTTTATTGAGTTTTCAGATACTAAATTGAGAAACACTCATGTTGTTATAAATAATGAAGGAGAAATTGCAAGTAAATATCATAAAATACACTTATATGATGTAGATTTACCATCAAAAAATATTAAAGCAAAAGAATCAAATCTAATTGAAGCTGGTAATGAAATTGTTTCTCCAGTAAAAACTTCAATTGGTAATGTGGGCTTGGCAATTGTATCCTTTTAAATGTTGTTTATTCAAAGTTATTTATTTTATGCTGTTTTCATAATAAAAAATTCCTTAGAAAATAATTTAAGTGTTATGATATGAGGTTTCCACAAATGGCAGTTGCTTTAGCAGAAAAGGGAGCTGATATTATAACATATCCCTCAGCCTTTTTTTTTGGAACTGGTGCATATCATTGGGAAGTTTTATTACGTAGTCGAGCTATTGAAACACAATGCTATGTTATTGCTTCAGCTCAAACTGGAAGCCATAGCTCTAACAGAAAGTCTTGGGGTCATTCACTTGTAAGTTTATTTATAATTTAATTTAGTCAATGAATAAAATATTATTATTAATATTATCAGGTTTTGAATATTTTTTTTTACTTTTGAGTAAAATTTGTTGTAAATTAGTATTTATAAGACTAATAAAAAATTGTATTATTTATAAAACTTAATGAAGTGAAATTTTAAGAACAAAAGTATAGATTCACATAGCAGTATGGTAGTTTATATAAACATGGTTAACATATTAGTTTCATATGTTGACATGACTGGTACCAAAATTTCCAGTAAATATACTAAGTTAGTGCTTAGGTGGCTTATTCTCAAGGACAAAAAATAATTTATAACTAGAATTAAAAGAAATTAAATTAATTATTATAGAAAGGACTTCAATGACTTAGTATATAATTTTGGTACTCAAAAGTTGTGCAAATAGCTAATGAATAGTAGGAACAATACAATCTTCTCTATCCTTCAGTCATATATCATGTTAGAAGGCTCATGTTTATTGTTTTCTTGTACCAAATTTTCAATGAATGAGTAGAGCCGCCATCGTCCAAGTCTTTTCGGCAAAGCATCCAGACATTCGATGGGTCTCTTCAGAGACCGAGTATCGTTTTCTTTTATATATTATATTCATGTAATGAGCTGTGTTTTTTATTAATTTCCAATTAACATTAACAGATGTGTTCCAATATCATCCGGAATGTGTTATAATATTATTTGTTTAAATATTTTATTTTATTTTTGTTGTCTTTATTTGTAGACATAGTTTTTGATACATTTGTATTTTTATCCTTGTTTAACTTAATTTTCTTCTTTTTAACATTAAATTTAATTTCCTTATTAATTTTAACTGTAATATTTATTTTATTGCGCGAGCAACTTAAGTACTCGCATGTATTTTTCCCTGTTCCTTTATCTAAATACGGCTACGGTATATTTTATATATCAACCTCTTACAACTTCAATTATCATAGTTGTGGTTAATAAATCACGAGGTGTTATAATCATTTATACATATAATGACATATTAACTAAAATTACACATTTAATTAACTTACAATTAAATTCCACTTATGGTCCCGTAATCATATCTAATATGTGTAACACCTCGCCTAAGTGGTTGGAACCCTTGCTACTGTAATCAGTCATTATGCAAGTGACAAACCACATTGTTGATGCAAGACGACAAAAAGGTCACTTGCAAATTAAAAATAATTTTCTTTTCTATTCTATTCTTTACAGGTTGTTGATCCTTTAGGAACTGTTATTGCTCAATGTTCTGATGAACCTGGATTTGTCTTGGCTCCAATTGATTTATCACTTGTAAATAATCTACGGCAAACAATGCCACTTAATCAACATAGGCGTTATGATATTTATCCAAAAATGTCTACAAATAGTTTCTATAGTTTGCCGATTTCAGATACAAATGAAATTAAGTTTGGCTCAGTTGTTGTTAAAGGTTTTCAAATATTTTGTCAAACTGCACTCAGCATGGCATTTACAAATATTAAATGTGTTTTGCCTGGACGTATCCTTTAATTTATATTAAAAAAAAATAAAGGCAATTAATTCAAGTATTATTATTAAATAATGAATTTTGAGTCAACCTTCATCATTGTAATACAGTTCATTTGCTTTTATTATTCCTTATTGTTACAATAGATGTTTTGGTTGCACCTTTAAGATGTGCAGAAAAATTAAGTGATCTTTCTAATGAAGAAATAAAAGATCTATTTCTTTTAGTTCAAAAAGTTGAAAAAACTATTGGAACTGTCCATGATACCAAATCCACATCAATAGTTATACAAAATGGCAAGGNCATGATACCAAATCCACATCAATAGTTATACAAAATGGCAAGGATGCTGGTCAAACCATCAAAGTAATTAACATTGCATTATTACATATAATTTTACATACAAGTTGATTCTAAATTTAATTTAAATTCTTTAAATAATTTATTTAGCATGTACACATTCATATAATTCCTAGAAAAAGCGGTGACTATTTAGACAATGACGATATTTACAGAGATCTGCAGAATGAAAAAAAGTCATCAAATGTTAAAAGATCTGATGAAGATATGAAACAAGAAGCTATAGTACTGAAAAAATATTTTTGATTCAACTTGTGTTCTGTAGGTTTTAATAAGTTACCAGATGTTTCTTATTTTTAAGTAGACTAGTTATCTAAAATCTATTATTGTAATTTTATCTATTGTAATACCTTGTGTAACATAATTTTAGGAAATATTTATGCTACTAGCTTACTAAATTATCAGTCATATTCCAACCAAATATGGATTTTTACTAAAAATGATAAAATATGAATGTATCTGTTTCAAAATTAAATTAAGGTTATCTTTAATTCAAATATTATTTTTTTAAGTTAAAAATATGAAAAGTTTTAAAGTAATAATCATTTTTCATTATAAATAATATATACAAATAAATAATTAAATATTATAGTAACAGTACAATATCTCACAAAAATGTTAATAAAGATTAGTTTTTTTCATAATTTGAAGGAATTCGTCTTGACTAACTTCTCCATCACCATCTTTGTCAGCTTCATCAATCATTTCCTAATAATTTAGTAAAGGAAAAATTATACAAATCTTATGAAATAACAATTTTTAATACTTATTAATTAAATTTAATAATATCTATTACTAACCTGAAGTTCTTCGTCAGCAATATTTTCACCCAATTCTTGAGCTATACGTTTCAAATTATCAAATGAAATTTTTCCAGTACAATTATCATCAAATAATTTAAAAGCTTTCATAATTTCTTCTCTAGAATCTTTGTCAGCCATTTTTTGAGACATTAATGTTACAAAATCATCAAATGATATATGACCTACAAAAAAAAATCATTGTGAAATAAAAATAAAATTTTTTACTCATTTGTAATATAATATTACCAGTGTGTTGTTTGTTTATACTACATAACATGCGTTTAATTTCTTCTTTTTTAGGTTCAAAACCTAAAGCTCGCATAGCCACCTTAAAAATAATTATAATAATCATAATTTAAATAAAGAAACACATAATAATATTTGAATATTTTTTACAAGACAACTATACATCTTTAGATAATTAATTCAATTTAAATTAAAAAAATAAAAAGTTATACAATACACTTAATTGTAAAATTATTTATAAAGATAATAAAATATAAATTTCAATGTTTATGTGTTTAGTTATGCGCAAAATAAAATATTAAATAATACCTTCAATTCTTTAGCTTCAATAGTTCCCTCTTTGTTGAATAACTCAAAAGCTTCCTTAATATCAACCATCTGTTTCTCACTAAATTCAAATTTAGTACCTCCTGACTTTTTTCTTCCCGAAGTCATACTAGATGAGTTTAATTCAAAATCTAGTACAAGAAATCTAAAAAAAAATAATATTAATTATTAGTATAAAAAGAAAATGTATAAAGGTTACCAATGAATTTCAGTATTATACCTTAAATTAATAAAATGTTTCAAACTAAGGTCTGTCGAACTTCGTTTCTATGATGTATACTATTTTAAATATTTATAACCTTATAAATAATACAATTTTAAGGATTGTTTACAATTATATCGCATTCTATATTATAAAAGTAAAATCACCAAATATAATGGTGACTATAATGATTATGGTTTGTTGATAAACAATTGAAGATTTAATCAATAGTATAACACTACTGTGTTATCAATTATTTTTGTGCTGCCAGTAACTTAGATATACAAAAACTTAGCTGTGGCCAGTAGTGAAAAGTTAACCCATGTTTTTACTATCATATATAATAATAATAATAATAATCACAGTTTTTTAATACAAAACTACTATTACATGTCTATCGTGAAAAATGTGTTAACTCTAATTTTATTGATAAAAAATTGATTTATTACAAAAGTGTTTAATTTTTTAAATATTAGCTTACATTTATTTTGTTTGTATTTAAAATTCCGTTAAATATTATTAAGTAATGAAAAAATGGCAAGAACTCTTTAATTTAATTGGGTGTAGATATAGTTATACAATAATCACTTAATTCCTTATATTTATTAAAAATTGTGTTTATTATCTCTCAAATATTTTAAAACAATTCTTTTAAAAATTTCTTTGGAATTTTATTTTTAAAATTGTATAGTTTAATTTATTAAAAATGGATAAATGGGATACATTAACTGAGGTGTTGATATCAGATGAAGTGTTACTAATGTGTCAAAATTTAGCACTTCTTACAGAGAAAGAAGAAGTTGCTGCTTTATTGATTGGTGAAGTTAGTTCTATCTGCAGTACTTTAATTATTGTGGAGAAAAAAATTAATTAATTTCTTTTTGTTAGAAAATAATTAGTGAAAATGGAACAAAGGTTTCTGTATCAGCATTGTCAATACCTCCACGAGGTGAAATCAAAAAAGATAGAGTAGAAATTATGTCTGAAGACTTGGTTGCAGCTATGGAAGATGCCAAACAACTATCTCGCGTTAAAGGTTCCAATTTAAATGTTATTGGTTGGTATCATTCACATCCTCATATTACTGTTTGGCCATCAAGTGTTGGTATGTAATATTAGTTTATATTTTATTCTTATAGTTAATTATTATAAAATTAAATATTTAAATATGTTATTATACTAATTAATTTTATCATTTTCATATTGGTAGTTAGATTTAACCTTAAATAAACTACTAGTAATCTAAAAATTCAATCATATCCTGTATCATACATTATACTGTATTTTTTTTTTGTTTATTTTAGATTTACAAACTCAACTAAATCTACAAAACATGGATTCATGTTTTCTTGGTATAATTTGTTCATCTTACAATACTGATACTACTACTATGGTAAGAAATGTTATACTTCTAATATTTATTAATAAATATTTAAGTGATACATTAGTTATACTATATAATTAAAGAGATAATTTTATTTATTTATTTCAGATGAAAGAAATGAATATGGTGTGTTTTCAATCAAAACGAATTGACGGAAAATTACTAAGAGTTGATATAAAATTCCATGTGATACCTACATTATGTACAAGTCAACTTTCATTAGGGGTAAGAAAGTTTTAATTACTTATTTTTAAAAAAATTAGTTTATGTAATTTGAACAATTTATTGTTTATTGTTTTAATTGTTGTATTAATTTATTGTTTTAAAGTCATGTTTTTTGGAATATAAAAATTGAAAAGATAATTAATTTCATATAATTTTCAAGCCCTATAGTGCTTTTGTTAATTATTGGAGTTTAAAAAAAAAAGTTATTAGTAAGGTTAATGTCAAAAGTATTATCAATAAAATTTTCACAATGATTCATTATGCTTTCAATATAAAATGAAAACTAAAAATATCAACATTGACTGTTTTTAACGAGTGTAATTTTTTGGGATATTTCCCTTTGTTACGAAGATTAAGAGGTATTTTTCAAAATTATAGTATTATTAGCTTCAACTAGACATATTTTATGGTTTTTTGACGTATCGCTAAGAAAAGTAAAAGTAATTTTATGGAAAGACGCTAAAAAAAAAATACAGCAGAGTAAAATCAATAGCTTCTCAGCTACACACTGAATCTTGTGTTTTAGTTGTTAAGTGTTTTGAAACTAAGGCCCTTAAATGAATGATATAGGTGACATATCCTACAATGGCAAAAATAATTATCTGGAGAAGTTACAATTTTTATTTATTTTGAGGGAAAGTGATAAATTTTATTATATTTACCCCCTAGATAAAAATTTAATTATAGTAATAATTTTTGAGATTTATTCTTTAATCTTCTTTAATGTTCAACATAGTATTTTTAAAGACAACATATACATTAGACTTTCTTTTATAGTAGAATATGACCCAATTGTGAAAACAAGTGGTAAATTAGAACTTATAAACCGATGTTGAATGCTACTAATTACATAAAGCAACTAATAATAATTATTTTTTATGTAAATTATTGTCTACAATTTTTTCCATCATATTTCATTTTTGATATAATTATTAATTAATTATTAAACAATAATTAAATCATTATAAAGAACTTAAAAATAATTTTTTTTTGAACTTTCCTAATATAATTTTATTATGTTAAAGAATAATTGTGCAAAATCTAGATTTATCTGTCAAGTTAAACTATTTTTATAAACTTTTAAATTTTCACAGTTTAAATCTGAAGCCACATTCAGAATCAGTATCAAAATTATACATAGAATTTACTATTTGGTGTATATACAGAAATGTCGGAGGATGTTTAGCACTCTCAGTTAGTTTCATAAATAAAAGTTGAAGAGAGGAGGCTTAGCTTCCTTAAAAATTGTTGTAGCCTCCCCAAATTTTAAGAAAATTATATGTATTTTTATAAATATGTACTATATATGATACTATCGATATCATTATTATGAATATTTTTAGTAATGTTATATAAATTATTTCATATTGAAATTTAAATTTACTATGCAATATAAGGTGACCTATGGAAGTCTTTGCTCCCGTTAGCACCCATTATTTGTTTTTAACTGAATGTGCAACTATGATTTCACCTAAATATTGCAGGCATCAAAATAGCTATTATCCTATGTAATTTAATATATAAGGGGTTAAGGTATTGTTTATGACTGTTTATGTCATCCTATATTTCTCAACCTCTTTCCCTAATACATTTATATTGTTTAAAATTCATTATTGATCAATTATTTTGATGGTATAGCACAAAAAAAAGGGTAAATGCACTCTTAAGCATTTTTCAGAAGCTTCATTTCAAAGATTTAAATGAATCAAACTATTTTATAATATTGCTTCTATAAAAGTCTAAGTCTTTGTAATCTGATATATAATTAAACTTTATAGATAACTGTGAAACACATTGAAACACTTTATGATGAACTTATTAAAAACTATAATCAAGCTAATGAAGATTTGACAAATCCAATGGCTCAACTACATAATGATTCTGGTATGTGTAAAAATATGATAAACAATTTAATGTTACAAAACAATTTAAAATTAATAATATTTTGTTTAGTTTATTCACTATTAGGAATTCATATGTTAGAGACTGTAGCCAAACCAATGTTACAAATGCTAGAAACTCAATGTGAAAGCTCTTCTAAAATGGTACAAAGATTGCAAACAAAACTTGAACAAACTTCAATTGATGGTGATTACCATTGTGATGGTAAAAATGTTAAAGAAAAAAAAAATAACGAACAAAAATTTGGAACTTCAGTTCCAATTGTAGATCGAAAATCAAAAAAACAATGTTCTAGTATGGTATCTTCCCCTGTTTAAAGGCTGGCTTTTTAAATAGGTTTATAAGTATTTTATTTGTAGTATCTACAATTTTTATTTTATTTTATATTTTTTAGTAATTTTAAGTATTTTATTCAATTGTAATATAATTAGTGATCAACAACGATTTGTGAATATCAATATAATCTTGATATCAACAGTATTTTTAGTAAATACTTAATATTGATTGATTGGAATGGGCTTGTCAAGAATAGAAATTATCGAAAATGTTGTTTGTAAATTTATCATCTTAAAATATACAAATAATATTCATGTCCAATAAAATCTTGTTGACAATACCTTGTAATAATATTATTATTGTTGACATTAGTGATAAAATATTATTAGGATTAAAGATGTTAGTTTAGGAGAGGCAATATAATTAAAAATACAACTATTATTCAATCAATTCAATTATCAATATTAAAACTAATTTATTTATTCACAATACATAAAGAATATATTGTAATATTTATTTAAAAAGTAAAAAATTATTATTCATTCTGACTAAAAGCAATACTACAGGATGAATTCTTCTTTTTTTTACTTAATGCTAAAATGTTGTTTTTATATTTGTTTGAATCTTGAAAGAAAATCTATTGCAAACATTTAATTATTATAAAAAAAAAATACATTTTAAATTGGTATTATATTATTTTTTGATAGTCCAAATAGAATATGATTATTTTAAATTTATTTTCAGGATCATTCTTTTAATATTAGCCACTCTATTTCTCTTAAAATAATAATTATATAAAGAAAATGTTTTTTTATTTATTTATTTATCAATTTATTAATTATAATTAATAATTAAGTACTTCTTTTAATGGCAACATACATTAAACATTATAAAATAAAAAATAATCTAATTAAGGAAATGACTGATCAATAACAACTTTTGAAATAGTACTTCGGAAATTTTTAACATTTTTAAATATAAAGTGGATGAAGAGAGCCATAGTCTTAGATAGTGATAATAATAACAACCCACATCTCATTTTCAATCTATATTTTAAAACAGTTATAACTCCCAAAGGATGGACTAAAAATTGTTATCAACTAATCATTTTCTTTTCTTAAATCACTTCTTATTTTATTAGCTAGTTAAATATGAATTTTACCATAAAAAAAAAAAGTAAAGACTTAAAACGTATAAGGATGAATTAAAAAATAATAATAATTGATAAATCGAAAAAAAATATGAAACTAAAAATTATCAAAAAGGATTTTCTTTATATAATTATTATTTGAAGAAAGTAGTTAATATTAAAATAATCACCTTGTATATTATTACCAATTAAAAATATTTTTATTAATGAAATTATATGTAGTATAGTTTTTTAATAATATTATAATCAAATAATAGATAAAACAAGTATAAATATTTTATTCTGTGATATTATTAATTGATTTTGGTGTAATTTTTTATAAGATTGTGTTTTATTTATTTGTTATTATACATTGATTTTTGTTGTATCATCACGCTTAATGTTTTTATTTTTAGTCAATGTTATTTATTTAATGTGAATTTCCATTTCACTAATAAACTACAATTAGTTTAATTAAAATAATCATCTAATACCTCAATACAAAACTACCATTTATAAATTTCACCAAGCACTTAGCTTTCATTGGGATAAAACAAAAGTTATATAATCTTAAGTTTTACAAATAAGTACTAAAAATCAAAAATCCTGATCATAATCATTTATTTACTGTGACTTAATTAGAAAAATATTGTTAAAGTGACCTTTAATATTTTAAAATTATCTCTGATATTTACGATGTTATCTTTAATATTTAAAATAGAGTGTATTAGCTTTGGATGACCTCTCTTGGATTGCTCTAAAGATTAATATTATATAAAACAATATTTATGGCGGTTAAACTTAAAACGCGTTTCAATTAGCGTTCACGTATTCAAAGAAACATTTATATTATTTAAATTAGTTGAATAGGTGTAAAAAATTTCTCTCAAATTATTTTCAAGTTTTTTAATTAGCGATTAATTTTTGTTCTATTTAATTATACCATCAACTGCAGGTACGTTAAAACGCACTGGCATTTAAATATAATTGTTACTCTTCGATAAACATAACATTTTGACCTAGATGCTATTATACGGATTATGAACCTGTATTGTTAAAAATCCCCAGTTTGTACGATTGTAATAAATTCAAAATAATATCATATACTATAAAAATAAATTATTTATTTAATTTAGGATCTAGTATAGTCTGAAAAATGAAATATAATTAAATTTGAAATCTTTTCAACTGCCACGACCATACTTAAAGTCAAGGTCGGCGCCCCTCCGAAACCACGTCCGTTGACCTACTCCGGCTGGAATACTTGAGAGAATTGTTCCGCTGGTTTAATTGTGTAAAATAAGTGCCACCTTCAACAACAATTTCCGGACATTAAAGTATTCCTAACATGCTAAAATTTTCATTATAAAGTTCAATCAGAATTATTAAAAATTATTCTTTATGTGACATTTAACCGCTAATTTTGTTTGTAATACTATTTCAAAAATGATTCTTCGTACTGTCTCAAATGAAATAGTTGACGTTAATTTGTGTCGAATATGATACTAAAAATTGTGATACTTTTACTGATCGTCGTATGTGCCTCAACAATAATATTTTTTATTGAAAGACTTGACTGGAACATTTTTAAAACCTGTAAGTACGTATATTAGAAAAAATTATTTTCGAAATGATATATATGTATATTTAAACATTATAGTTAAAGCAATTAAAAATTGATTTAGATGATGATATAATTCTCAAAAAAAAGAATTTAAACACTTCAATACTTTCATTTATAAGATTATAGAAATAAAAAGTTTTGACTGTATTCGGGATCACTTTTAATACTACAACAAACTTATGTGATATATATTTTAAAACCGGCAACTTTTTTATGGATTTTACTGTAAACACATTTTTTTAAAGTCACTACATACGTAGTGACATCTATGATTTTTAAATTAAATCTCGTAGATAATAACAATATTTTATGGTTTAATAAAATAATTTTTTTTAATTTATTTAGTAGATTTTCAAAGTTAAAAACTTTTTTTTCAATTTTACCACAAATTAAGTATAGTAGTAACTTTTCGAAGCTGTGTTATAACCCCTGCCCTGCAAAAAAATTCATCATTTGTGTAGTAAATTTTTTTATTTTTTAAGTGAATGCATCATATGGCTGTTTTTAGTCTTTTAATTTAAAATTCATCTTATTTTATGGAGAAATTTTTTTCCCGCCAATCATTAAAAGTAGGTTACTGTTATTCGATCTTCCTAGTTACGCTACATAAATAAATTCATTTACTTTTGAGACTGACTTGTATTTAAATAAATACATTTACCAATCATGTTCGCCATTAGAAAGTGATTAAAATTTTTATTTATAAATTATGTATATATACAATGAATGTATTTACATTCATACATAAATAACTTACAATTGAAGCATCTAATGACTTTTGTTTTATTCATAATTTCAAATCAGTTATGTTTAATACAACAGATGTATACATAAATTTAGTTAAACTAACTAAGCTAAAAGCTGATTCTATAAAGAACCGGTTATTTTATAAATAATTGATTAAAACTTTAAAATGTCGACCGTATTTTCATATGTGAAAAAATATTAAAGAAATCTGTACAATTAAATTAAATAGATTTTTCTAAAAAAGTATAATAAAACGAAAGAGTGTTGCAACATACATATTTGATGAAAATCTATCTTTTAAAAAGTTCAGTAAGCAATTTTTTAATGACACGCGAGTACATTAATTAAACCTTTCTGTGTTAATTCTAGGTCAGTCTTTTTTTTACGAGCAACAATATTTAAACTAAACTTTTTATTAATGTTCACTCGACCAACATCTGAGTGAAAGCATTTCTAATAAAAATTATTGTTGTCTGTCGGATGCAACAATAACTGTAATTTGAACAACGTATAGATATCAAGTTTTTTTTTTACATTTGTATAACATTGAATATGATAATGAAGTGATATTGTGTTCATTATAGTTCCAGTTGACGATATGGAAGACGGTTCACGTTCTTACTTGGACCGACTTATGTACCTAGAAAGACAGGAACGTGTGTCTCAAATGTGTCGTCTATACAAACTACCAATTAACTATCGTATAAACGACACGGCGCTTCTTGAGCATATCCTCGTTGATCATCGTAACAAATTGTTGTACTGTTACGTGCCTAAGGTAAGAAAAACTTAATGCAAGTATTTTTCAACGGTGTATCCAAATCCAACGACTATCTGCCAGTAAAGCAATCTTACTCGGCTGAAAATTGGAAATCTCACCCATTTTTCGTTTTCACAGGTCGCATGCACAAACTGGAAAAGAGTGTTTATGGTACTTTCTGGTTACGCCAAACCAGCGGAGGCTTCTCGAATACCTGCCGACCTCGTGCACAAGCCGAGTACGTTATACCGACTCAGCAACTATTCGGCAGACGTGGCTTCCGAAATGCTCGGCACTTACACCAAGTTCCTGTTCGTCCGGCATCCTTTTGAGCGACTGTTGTCTGCGTACAGGAATAAACTGGAACAGCGACACGAAAGTTCACGGTACTTTCAGTCGAGGTTCGGCCGGCGTATCGTCAAACGGTACCGGGTCAACGCCTCGGAACGGTCTCTTCTCAACGGCGACGACGTCACGTTTCCCGAGTTCGCCTCTTTCGTGGCAGACACTCGGGACCATGTTTTCAACGAGCATTGGGCGTCCATAGACAAGTTGTGCAAACCCTGCGCTGTCAACTACGACTTCATCGGCAAGCACGAGTCGTTGTTCTCAGATTCAGACTACTTCCTCAAACACGTGGTCGGTGCGATCGACGTGAAGTTTCCTAGAGGACCCGACACCAACACGTCGACTCAACTGAAAAAGTACTACAACTCATTAGACCACAACGCCATAGTAAAATTATACAACACTTTCGAATTAGACTTCAAGTTCTTCGATTACAACTTGCAAAACATAATTGGATACGAAGTCGGATAACATTAATGCCTTACAGTTTTTTTAATCCTCAGACGTACTTTGAGATACATGTTACGAGTAAATCATATTAAGTAGCTTTAAATTCTCAGAGTATATCTTTGTCATAACGACTGTCTTTATTTTTTTTTCACGTTTAGCATTAGTTAAATCATAAAAAATTTTGTAAACTATTCATAAAATACAAGTAAACTCTGTGATACCATAAATTTGTATATTTTAAATTGCGCGTATAAAGAACCTTCAAAGTACTACGTTAAAAAAGATATCAATATGATTGTTAAATCCATATGCAAAAATCCGACAAGTCAACTGTTTATTGATAATTAAAAAACTTCTTAAAAGTTTTATTCACTTCTAAGGACTTAAAAATTATACCGGTATAATTGTGTTCATAACACAACTCAATAGATAAACAGTAACGTATTTGTATTGTGCAGGTGCATTTTTTCAGAGGGTAAAACTTTGAGAACCCTCCATGACGTCAGCACTTAAAATCAATAAGTTGCGGTGTTAACAGCTGCAACCAACGAGCGATTTGTGTGTGGGCCGTTTCTAGTTTTGATATCACTTTTCACGACCAACTTTAATTGCACATATTGTTTGAACGTTAGTTAATTTAGTTGGACTAATTTTGAATGAATAGTAAACGCTATGATAAGTTAATTAGGCCAACCGTTTCATTTTTTTCAAGCCATCTAAACTCACTAACCGTCTAAAAATCTAAAATTTTAGTCGTTGGTTTATATTTATAGAGCCATAACTATACTGGTTCGAGAATTTTAGTTAATTTTTAACGTAACGTATCAATATGGAATTAGACGTTGAAGAAAACAACTACAGTCACCAAGACGCCGATAACGAACACGACATGGGCCTATACTCATTTTGCGAGAATAGCCATAAGGATTGGGAGTGAGTGTCTTATAAATAAAACTATTATACTGATAAAAATAATATCAATAAAATTAAACTAAAAATGTTTTGTATAAAAGAAATCATTCGCTGTTTTGAAAATTTGCCACAATCAAAATAATTGATTTACAGTTCAAATCATAAATAATAAATTCATCCGAAAACTAAGAATAAAAAATTATTTACGTTCTTCAACACTATAATTTAGTTGAGTAAAAATCAAATTTTTAAGTCAAATATATTTTTAACTTTTATAGAAATTTTAGACTCTTGAGGGAGCAAGAGAAACATGCCCCTCTTTCCTGAAAAAATTTGCAATTTTCATGAGAATAATAAAATCCCAAAAATATTTAACAAAATTATCATCACATACATTTCTATTGAAGCGTTTCATGATATTAGTTATAATCATTTTCAAGTTTTTATTTTTAGTAGTTTCAACTAGCTATACCAAGTCTCAGCTGAAGTTGTTTTTTTATTATAATTTTTATCCTTATGCTTTTAAATTATTTAATTAATTAAAAGCTAACAAATATTCCAATTATTCTAATATTTTTTTAGAATTATTTCCCGTCATATTGTAGTTATTAGCATCAACGAATCTATTGTATGATTAACATTATCAACAATAGTGACAACTAGCAGTTCTATTTAATCATAAAATATAGAACATGATCATATATTGAAAAAAAAAACTGAATAAATATCCTCTATAGGGAATTTTTGTGCGGTTTCTTTCATGATCTCATTTTTGACATAACATCACAAGAAACAGTTATTATTCATTAAAGTTTTATATTTTAATGTTTAAGTACAACGTCTATTTATCCTTAAAGTAAATAACAAACACAAAATTTAATATTCATTTCAATAATATTTTTTTTTCAAGTTTTGTTGTGGTTTGATAGAACGGTGAATATCAGTTAGATGTTCTACTCTGCTTAATTTACACAGTATAAAATATGTTTACCTAAATTTGATGTCAACAAAATTTAATATCTGGATTATTTAATTTGTTTCATCAGACTAAACTTTAAATGAAAAAAATACATGACTTATACTTTTAGAACTTATATCGTGTAAAAATAGATACAATGTTGATCGTAATTGTTAATAAGAAAACTAAATCTAAAATAAATAAATAAATCTAAAATATAGTGTCTAAAAAGTATTTTAATATATTTTTCTAAGCCCATGAATCACTTTAGATTAAAATAAACTCTTCTTTCTTTTGTAAATTAATTTTTTTAACTAAGCTATTGAGACTTAAATATGTGTAAAAGTATTCAATAGATATTATATTTTGTATATTTTTCTTTTTTTTTTATAAATACTATTCTCAGACAAAATCCTCCACAAGGTACGACAATGATTGGGACATTTATGAAAATACCTTTTCTTATTAATGGAATTCACTTAATTTTGATTTGTAAACTAATATGGCGTTTACATAACCAGGATCGACACTGGGATTCGTGAGAACTTGTGTGAAATTTTTTTTCGGGGATCTTTAAATTTTTTTTAGTGATAACTGAACTTAGTTTGTGGGGATCCTTAAATCGCAGAACGCAACTCACACACCCTAGCGCTGGCTTTGCTCATAAATACTTATTATCACAAATCATAAAATTATAGCAGATTATAATGGTACGCCAATTAGGCGCCTGAGCACATCCCTAATACCATAAATGCAGAGCTATTGAAGTCAATTCTCAGAAAGAGATTTCTTCATCAAATAATCTAAACCACATTTTTCAATTGACTAATGTGACACTTAAAGTTAGTAAATATAGGCACCCATGACTAAGTTTAAGTACTATAATAAAATCGGGTAACTTGATAATATTTTATGGTTTTTATCATTTCATGTTTAAATTGTCTTAAATGAATTAGATGACGAATTAAATATAATATAAAAATATACAAGCATCTTTGTATAGACTGAGTCAAAAAACCACTCTATTGCTAATACAGCGTATCAATAATTAACTTGAATCTTATGTTAATATGTTTTATAAAAAAAAACTCTCAAGAGATTCGACTACAAAAACACGATTTTATTTTCCAGTGAGAACGATCGTGTTGGTTATTTAGAAGAGCAATACGATATTCTTCATTCTTCTGTTATAGCTCTTACTTCGCATTTTTCTCAAGTAAGTATAATCCTATGAATACTTGTGAATATTTTGATGAAAATTATTTTATTGTTAAAATATTTTTTTATTTTACACAAATCTATTATACATAAGATTATTGCATTAATGAATGTAACTGTTTTTTTTTTTTTTTTCATGAAAAGTTTAACTATAATTTCTATAGAAATTATTCATACGTAATGTAGTCCGGTTTAAGGGGGAGGTAAGAGGGCCAAGGCCTACAAATCCATTAGTAATAGGTTTTTTTACAAAGAAAAAGAACCTAGTCTTATATTCCACCTAATTGGTAAAATAACTTAAAAAATTTACTATTATTGTTATTAATTTTTTTATCACCTGCAGTTTTTATTTATTTTATAATAAAAACGTAGTTAAGTTTTTATGAAAAATAGGACTCACATAGGTCTAATCCAGATCTATATGTAATATATTTTATATCAACAGGTGCAGCTAAGAATTCATCAAATCATCGAAGCACCTGATGAAGAAAAAAAAGATCTATTGAAAAATTTAGAAGAGTTTGCTTTTAAAGGCATTCCTAATATTTATACGAATTGTTCATTAAATCATCTACTTACGGTAGCAATATGATTATTAAAAATAATATGACTTTTTTAAAATTGACTCTTAAATTACTATTTTAGAATAATGACGACCAACTGGTGGAAAAGAAACACCAAGTGCAAATTGAAGTTATTAATGAAATGAAAAAACAATTAGAAGATTTAGAATATCACATTTATAATAACAGAAACGAATTTGACTTGCCAGAGAACTTTGTGGATATTTTTCGTGAAAGGCAAAATAATATTATCAGTAAGTCATTTACTAAATAATTTTGTAGTTTTAAGTTTGCTATAAATCGTAAAAATAATTCAGATGTCTAAATTTCAAATTAATATTTTTATTTACCTATAGACCAAGTCGAAAAAAATCTAAATGTCAATATAAAGGATCCGAATAACATTTCAGTCGGTGAATTAAAAGAAGAAGTTGACAATGCCATTCAAAAAGTAAAATATTTTTCCACTTAATTTGGTTTATGAAAGGTTTATTTTTAAAATGATCTTGTCATAGTCAACAGTACTTAGTTGGGAAAAAAAGAAAATCGCATTTCTTGGTAAAATAATAAATGAATTAAATACAATCTTTCTTTATTAATACTTATTTATTTATTACTAAATTAACACCCCGAAGAGCAAAGATTATAGTTCAATGTAAATTATACAAGTTATTAAACAAAATAACAGATTACAGAAAATAATCGAGGAAACAACAAACATTAAATAAATATCTATGAAAATACGTGTATAAATTATTTAAATATTTAAAAACTATCTCTAGGTTATGGCCTACGAGCTTCCTAAAATCAAAAATTAAGAGGTTCAGTTTCTATTAAGGGTTTTAATAAAGTTGACTCTTTTTAAGGTTTCAGTTAAGAACCGTATTTAAAAGGGTTTTTACATTATTATTTTAAACATCTAATAAGTGATTTTAGAAATTATACTCTTATCAAAATAGTATCTTAAAATTAATAAACTTTTATCATTTTATTATTAAATTTCTATAATATATTTTAAGCAAAAAACAGTTATAAAAACATTTTTAAACAATTTTTACTGGTTATTTACCAATAATTCTTTCATTGCTATAGTTTCTATTTCAACTATTTAGATTGGCTCTACCGTAACGATTTCAACTAACTTTTATACTGGTCTTCGACTTGACTAAAATCAATATGGCTGAGGGAATCAATATTATTTACCAACAGTAATAACTCAAATCATTTTTTAGTTATTTATTATACACATAAATATCCTTAATTAGTAATATAAAGTTACAGTAAACATCTTGAGAATATTATCGGGAATATTTTAAAGAATATTTTCTAAGAACGATTATTCTTTTTAACATGATTTATTATATTTTACATTACTTTAAAATGGTATTGAATTAGATAACAAGTAAAAAATTGGTCGCTTCTAAATTTATCTATTTAGCTTCAGATAAATCGATAAAAAAAAGTTGGAGTTATAGTCAACTTCCAATAAAAATTAACTTATTATCCAACTTTATGTTTTCGAGCTTACAAACGCTTTAGAGTTGTATTTAATAGTAACCAAATTTATACTTGATAGCCAAATTAAGTCCAATTTACGGTATTACACAGAATTATTTTAATAGGGAATTTTTCGATTGCATGCAAATAAAGTATTTTTTGCAAGGGTTATTATTTTTAGTATTTAAACAATAACTGAACAATTAACAAGCCATAAAAATGCAAAATTATTAAGAAACTATAGAAATTTAACAAATTAAGAAGCCATAAAAATACAAAAACATTAAGAANAATTACAAAAAAATAAAAAAGCCATAAAAATGCAAAATTATTAAGAAACTATAGAAATTTAACAAATTAAGAAGCCATAAAAATACAAAAACATTAAGAAACCATAGAAATTTAATAAATTAAAAAGCCTTAGAAATTTAATAAATTAAGAAGCCATAAATATGCAATAATATTAAGAGGCTATAGAAATGCAAAAAAATTAAGAAGCCTTAGAAGTTTAAAAACTTTAAGAACTTATTTTCATTTATTTTCACTCAATTTTTGTTGAGACAATTTATGTTATATTTGTTATCATGCGACTATTAACCATGGAAAAGATAATTAAATCTGCATTACAATTTTCAATAAATATTCATTACTTGAAATTATTTTAAAGTTTGAATAAATATTCTTAAAGAAGTTATTTAGTTCTATTATTTTTTATATACTATATTGTCTCTTAATTATCTGCAGAAGATTACTCCCATTTCCGAGAATATTCTATTGTTGCATTACTACCCCATTAAGAAGCATTAATGGGATTAATGGGAAAAACCCCATCTCAAAAGTGTAATATTATCATTATATAGAATGTTTAGTAAATAAGTAAACTGATTTCTATTTTTCTCATTGTTAAAAAAGAATTGACCTATTATTTACCTACTGAACTCTATGTATAATTATTTGTTAACATAATTACTTTTTGATATAGTATGTGGTTACACAATAATACAAATGATTAATCGTACGCTATTATAATATTTATTCCTAAGGTTAGTTTGATACGGAAACCTAATAATTGATCCATATTCAAATATAAAACGTACTAGAGTGCAATAAAAAAATTCAAACATATAAGATTAGAAATATCTCAGCAATATCTCTTAAGAAAACCTGTTAACCGTAGAGCTTTATTATAAATAGCTAAAATGTCCCCAGCAAAAGATACATTCCAGGAAAGAATTTTACCAAGATCCTTAATATGCTAATTTTTTATAAGATCAAAACTATATGAATATTAATTCAATTGATAATCTACGAGAAAAAGTGATCTGAAAATATTTAAAATAATTTATATATAAACCATTAACAACACACCTGTTATAAAATCTATACAAATCATCTTGTAGATCTTGACTATCGGCAACTGAACGAATATTAGTATAAATTTTAACATCAGCAAAAAACTATTATCTTGTATTATAATTATTTTTGTTTGCAGTTAGTAAACCCAATGAAAGCAACTGAACATCTCGTGAATCAATTGAAAACCCAAATAGCAGACTTGGAGCGATTTATTGATTACGTGCAAAGTAATTACTAACATATTAATTTGATTTGGTATACATTAATACCACAAAAACCATTCTGTCATGTTTTCCGGTTAAAAATATATTTCAAGTGTATTGCTAAGTAAATATCAATCTTTAACAACGTATTTATTACACAAATATAATTATTGGATTGTACAAATAACATTAAAACCTTTAAAAGAATTTCAAAGTATTTCGACAAATACATTACACGTAATTTCTTCAAATTAGATTTTTTACTAAAAAATTTATTTTATAAACTTTAAAAGAGTTTGCAGAAGAATACGTTTGAATATTGTTAACCAACTGTATCATTACTTAAAAATATATTATTTGTAAATGCGTTACTAGAATTGTTTATATAAATAAGTTTTCTTAACTGAATTTTAGCCGGAAAAATCAAATTAAAAACATCTAGCGGGATGAATGACAAAATAACAACAATTAATGAGAAAGAAAGAAAATCGAGGAAAAATGAGGTATGTTATAGTCAACATTATTTTTAAGATCTTTTTTTTATTTTAAATAAATTATTTTTACTCAAAAAGATACCCCAAAATACAATTGGAGCTGTTAACCGACTGTCAGCTATTCTACAGATGTTTATTGGCACCCAAATATCTTGTAATCAACGAAATTTTAAGAGGAACTCCCTAAAAAAATCTCTAAAGATTAATCATTGGGGGTAAGCTAATCATTATAGATTTTGAACTGTTTTTTTTATTAAACAAATTAAATTTCAATTTATTTAAAAATCATTTTAATTTAGTTTAATTTAGAAAATTTCAATTTAATAATTAATCAAAAATCAATCATTACTCCTATGATATAATTTATTTTTATTTTTTAGAGATCACAGGGCTAACTTGGAGCTGGTTATAGCAGATTTGCTCGAAATTTTGAATGTTCCTGAAACTCACAATGATAGTGACTACATGTCTGATTCAGAAGGCGCATTAGCTGCAATGGAGTGTAATGGAAAAATAGCTTCGATTGTCCGAAAAAGATTAGCACCATCCATACAAAACTTAATGCAACATGGTCTTATTATGGTAAGTTATTTAAATCTCAAAAAATTGTAGTTGGATAATAGTTGATGAATGTGAAAATTATAGATCGGGCAGAGTACCAGTGTAGTACCTTTTGTAGACTGTCTACATCCAAGAGTAAACAATTCAAAATCGAATTTGCACGCTTGGGAATTAGTTCTTAAGTACTACGAGATAAAAAATGGCGACCATTTTAACTCTACACCTGCTCGAAAACTGTCGCAGAGTTTTAATTTGGATATTGAAGGATGCAAATCATCAGTTTCCCACAAACAAGTATGCTTATTTTCTTATACAATTGGGATAACAATTATTACTGATACTTATGCCATTTTAACCAAAACAATTTTTTCTAGTGTCTCTTATCAATTATAGGCAATATTATTTCATCACATTCTCGGTACAAACGAAGCTATGATTCTTGTTTCAAAGCATTAGTGTGCGCAGGATTAAAGTATGTATTATAATATACAATAAAAACAATACACATAATATACTTATGAATAAAATAATGATAAAAAATTCACTTGTAATATTTTCCAGTGCAAAAATGTTAGTCAATTGGTTAAGATTTATATTTAAATGTCAACCCCTAGTTGAACTTTACTATCAGCCATGGAGCTATGTAGCTCAAACAGGTTAGTTGTAATTTATTATTATAACTGATTTAATACTCGGCATAATTAAAGTCTAAAAAGATTAGATTTTTCTCACATGATCAAATAATCATGTACTTATTGAATTTAGGATTTGAAGACGCTTTGCATTCGCTGGAAAAATTGAACCAATACAATTTTGAATTACCTGTAGATTTAGCCATTCGTCAATTACAAAATATTAAAGATGCTTTTTAAAATTGTAAATATGTACAAAATTTTCCACTTGTTATTTGAATTAAAATGTTAATAGTGAAAATATATATTTTAAATAGTCCGAGAATTTTTAATAAAAAAATGATAAAATCTATGTGTTTATTAATTCCATCTAAATATGTCATATTACCAGTATATGCAGTAACGGATTAAAAAATATATTTTGTCCAATGCTGGTAATTCTAAAACTGATATTTTTTATCGTATTGTAAAAATATGTAGTGCGTTTATAATTAAAAAATTATAAATGATTTTTTTTTTTTATCAAGTCTAGAATAGTAAATACTACGTAAAATAATATAGTTTTTTCATAAATATATTTAAACATTTTTATACATAGTAATGTACAAAGGACGTAGTATTCGTGTGATGTAAGCAAACTATTTAGATGGAACAAACGGTCATTATCGTGAAATCATTTTTCTTGTGTATATTCCCCTCCCTATCTTTGAAAAAATCCTGCACACGCCACTGAAATTTTCTTTAAACCGGTTTGATATTAATTTATTTTTAGTTAAGTTTTAAAAACTTGTTCTGGTAGAATTTACGAATAAATTATTTTTGTAACATAATAACAATATATATATATATTAATTGGTATATACCAGAAATCAGTTCGCGCCAAGATCCGATCTATATTTAGGCCGCTCGAAGTCGTGTCGTAATATTAATTTCATATTTCGGTTTGGGTAATTTAAAATAATTCCAGTTGGATCGCATACGTTTGTGCGAATTATAAAAAAAAATGTATTAAATATACATATTGTTAACAAGACAGACACTAGACATCACAAAACACCTGAACATAATATGTCCGGTCTGTGCGATCATATGTTTGATCGCACTCATTAGTCCTTATAGATTCTTGATGCCAGATTTTATATTTCCCGTAAAACCCGATACCTGGCTGATCATTATTCGCATATTTATATATGTATGTCATCTTATTGTATGACACTTCACGAGTTCCTGGTGAAGAATTTTCATTGTGCCGTTGAAATTTGGATTTTTATCAAAATATGTGTTCCTTTTAAACAGTAATTTTTTTGTCGTGAATATATGAATCAACTATCAATCACCGGTAATCAATATCATTTGATAAAATATTATAATATTAGTATTGTTATAATAATTTTAAAATGAAAACCAACACACGTAATTAAACAAAATAATTAATTCAAATAATACACAAATATTTTTATTTACTAATTTAAGTAATTTAACTAAATAAAATATGACATACAATGAAGAATCATTTTTTGAAACTTTTAAATAGTAATTGTTTTAAACAAATTCATTTCAGAGTACTCAAAGTATATATATATATATATACTTATAGTTAACTATATATATAGTTTTGATTAAAATGGTAATTTATTCAATACTGTTAATTAAAATTTTCATGGATGCAATAGCAACATTATTTCTAGTTATAATTATGAATTAAATTAAACCTAAGTTACTAATACTTCATAAATATAACTTATAAAATAATTGTGCCCAGAGACCATTGAAAATATCAAAATAAGGGGAATATTTTACATATTACATGTTATCAACTTAAAGACAATTATTTTTAAATATTCTTAATTTCCTAACACCAATAAAAAGTACACAAGACATTGGATAAAACATTAACATTAAAGATACTCAATGTATATATAGTGAAATAAATTAACTGTTCTTTTATTTTAAATTATTTCTAAAAATGAATTTTTAAACAAGTTAACTAATTAATTTAAATTTCGTATCCTACCTTATTTTGAATGAATTTTTTCCAATAAAATAAAAAAAAGCTATTTATAGTATTAGATTAATATAATCCATATATAGTATGTACAATTTAGTATTTATTATTTAAGAATTAAAAAATTTCTTATTGTAAAGTTCACAAAATGTAACGAGAAATTAAATTAAATTAATTTAATTGGTAATCCCCAGTAAAAATGGTTAAATAGTAGGCATGTATAACATAAAAAATAATAATTAGATATAGAACTATTATAAATCCACCTAAATGTCATTCTACTAAAAATCTGAAAATATTTTCTTATTTTAAAACAAGTTCAAAAATACTTTCCAAAACAACGTATACAATCATGATTTGTCAATGCTCAAGCTCTTTCATACATTCAATATGTAAAAGTTTAAAATTATTATTAGGTAATATATCATAAAATTATTCATATAATAATAATAAACAATTTTTCCAGGTATTACTTTTGTGCTAAATTATTGTCTCAAGTCAAAAAGTTTTAACTTTCTAAAAATATCACACTAAAAAAAAAAAAAAAAA